CTAACAACTGTCTGTCACTCCAGTTCCAGGGGATCCAATGTCCTCTTCTGACCTCCACGGGCATTGCACGACATGGGTGCACTAAACATGGATGCAGGCAATACATTCACACACATAAAATAATAAACTATTTTTAAAAAATAAGGAAGAGGGGATCATGAATTTGAGAGAGAGGGAAATGGGAGAAGTTGGAGGGGGAGTGGAAGAGGTGGAGATGATAGAAATATAATTTTCATGTATTATAAGAAATTAAAATAAAATAAAGAAAACAAAAGGCAACTCCTGGTGTGGCTGTGGGGAATGGGGAACTTTCATGCACTGTTGGTGGAACTGCAAATTGCTGCAGGCACTGTGGAAATCAATGATGTGGTTCTTCAGAAAACAACCAGATCTACCATATGATCCAACTATACCACTCCTGGGCATATGTGCAAAGGACTCTATTTCCTACTACAGAGACCCATGCTCATCCATGTTCATAGCTGTTCTATTTACAGTAGCTGGGCATGGAAACAGCCTAGATGTCCAACTGATAATCAAAATGTGCTGCCTATATACAATGGAATTTTATTGACCTGTAAAAAGTGAAATTATGATATTTTTAGATAAATGGACGGATCTGGAAAACATTATACTGAATGTACCCAGACCTAGACAGACAAAGATATGGATATCATGTTGATCTTAGTCTCAAATCATTATATTTGTGTGTTTAATTTTGAGTACCTGTAGAATTCATGAAACTAGAAAGGACCATTGTTGGGGAGGGGGAAGAAGACAGATTGTAAGGGAAGGAGGACGGTAGAACACAGCTGATATGATCAGGAAAAGGAGAGTAATGGGAAGGGAGGTTTAAGTGCAGAGAGGAACAGGAGGGTAGGGCAGGGGAGGGAGCTGAGGAAGAGAAAACTAACACTGAAGATGTTTGAAAAAGTCATATGGATACTTCCTGTTGTATAACCTTCATATAAGAAGGTTATATGAAGTATATATTCATATAAGAAAGGTAACTGTGGAATTATCCTAGAAGCCATAGAGCTCCATATAAAAGTCTAATGCCAGATGTGGGAAACTTTCCCTTGAGTTGTTGGTCAGAGGTGTCCCTGAGACAACCCCAAACTATACAGGCTATTGCTATTGCTCCTGGTTGCCCAGCAAAACTTGATGGTAAGACCCTATTGCTGACACACTGGCCATATGACATGGAGAATCAAGTTAGTACTGATCAGGAAGCTTCTTCCATGCTGGCTAACCCTCATAGTACCACAAGGTGCTATGTAAGATGCTTGGGGGGAAAGTCATCAACAGTCTTACCCAGTTGTGAATGCTGTGAACTACAATAATAATCAATATGGCAAGATGTGCCCTTGGGTGCAATAGTGCCATAGAGGCAACCAACTGCTTTCTGAGTGGATTTAAAGTCCACCCAAGAAGGTGAAATATATGCCTCACATTGAAAATTGGACCCAAGAACCCACGGTTAGAGAGCTCACAGGCCCCAGTGGTGAATTTATTATTTTGCTAAATGGACATAGTATGAAACTGCCTTCTAAATTTGTATCTTTCTACCTATAGATTAGTGAAGCTCTCAGACCTCATCAGACAAATTTCTTTGCTCAATGAATGGTGGTTAGTCAAAGTGCAGAGAATAAATGACTATGGCGTTATCAGATGCAAACAAGACATATGTGTCATACCACCTCCTCAAGGCTCAGGGACCATTGTTGAAGAAGGAACAGGAAGGTGTTGTAAGAGCCAGAGGTCAGGGAGGACCAGAGCAAAGCAGTTTCTTCTGGACATGACAGAACTGCTGCACTCATGAACTAATAGAAGATGTGTTTGCCTGTATAATACCTAAACAAGATCAAGCCAGTCAACATTTAATCATGGGGAGCATGGAGCAGCTTGTGATCCCCAACCCTTAGCTGAAGAACTATGGACAGTTGATGGTTTTCTGGGGAGGGAGAGTCAGTAGGTTGATCATGTTCCAATGTATGACCCCATACCTAGAAGTTTATGGACAGTAAAAATTGGAGTTGATGGGTTATTAAACAAATCTTTAAAAAAGACATGAAGTTGTAGGCATAGGGAGATAGGGTGGATCTTGGAGGAGTTAAGAGGAAAAGTTTGGGGTGAACATGATCAAAATATATGAAATTCTCAAAGAATTAAAAATTTTAAGCAAAGGATTAAGTTGCTTGGCAGAGGAAATTTCAAGACAGCATAAGATTTAGATGGTGTCATGCCTATTTGCTTGCTGTATTTACCTAGATTTACAGTGACAGTAGAAAACGGAGTTGGAATTATTAAAGATGTGCAGTTTGTCAAGGAAAAGTGTATGATAATGGCTAATGTTGCAACAAGAATTGTGCAGTTTGGAAAAGAAAGGAGCTTGCATCCAGTTAAATTTGATAGGGCAGAGTGGACAAAGTGACTGTAATTGTTAAAGGGATTGGTATCATGGAGAAGAAAACTAGGACTTTTTATTGAGACAATAGGAAATATACCTGAGGAGAAGATGCCACCTCTTGAAAGCTCCAGGATGTAAGGGTGCAAACACATTTAAAAGGAAAGGCCCTAAAAGATGCAGCCTTCAGAGTGCTCTGCTGGAAAACAGGTGTCTAGAGTGTTTTCTCACATTCACCTGTGATGACATGGGTAGCATAGAGACTAACTCTACACCTGTCCATGCGAATGATACCCATAAAGGCCTTCTTACCTTGAATTATTTTAAATTTTAGTAAGATTTTGATTTTAGTTAATTTCTTGCCCCCTTTCCTATTTTAGTTCTTTTATAGGCTTCTTTGATGAGGGATGAAAGATACATTTGTCTGTAAATACGAGGAAGCATATTTAGAATAAAGTAAGAAATTATGTTGTTCTAGGGATGTAGCAAAAGTAAGTTTTTCATCTAGGATATGTGGCCTTTCCAGTCATATATATTTGGCTATGTTTACAGTACCACACGAGTTCCCTCTCATTTGGTGGGCATTAATGCCAGTTAGATAGCTGTTGATTGACCACACAATAAAAATGTCACTATTCCACCAATAGCAATACTTTGCTGGGTCAGTCATTTTTTTGTAGGCTTCACAATTGGTCAGAACCATTGATTTGTTGTCTTTGTTGGCAGCTTGTATAGTGAGTATTCTCTGATACCGTGAAAGCTAGACTTCAGGGAGGAAGCTTCCAGATCAGTTCCAGCTCAGTTGTTCCAAGTCCTGTGTCTGAAATGTGGCCTGTCTTCCACAATAGGATCTTTCCTTCAAGTTCTGGAAGGCAGTCAAGGGCTGCGGAAATATCTTTTGTTATTTTGGGGGTCTCTTGGACTACTCTGACCAACAACTCAAAGGGAGGTTTCTCCTACGTGGCACTGTGTTTTTTGTTATATAGCCTTCAGCTGTACACATACACCTGCAAATATATGGTATGTGTATTTTTCAGTAGGACTTCGAAATGATACATTTTCCTTTGGTTTTTCATACCATGTTGGCATTATTTATCTCTCCTGCTCACTTTCCCTGTATAACTCTGGTCTACATAGTGAGTTCCAGGCTACCCAAGGACTACATAGTAAGCTACCGTCTCAAAAATCTATCTGTCATCTATCTATCTGTCTATCTATCTATCTATCTACCTATCTATCTATCTATCTATCTATCTATCTATCTATCTATCTATCTATCTATCAATCAATCATCTATCTATCCATCTATCTATCTACCATCTATCTATAATCTATCATCTATATATCTATATGTATTTAAATGGAGTTATGCCTCATGGGGAAGGATAATGCTCTCCCCCAAAGCCATATACTATCTAAGCCCAGTACCAGGCTAGGGATCCCGCCTTTCATGTTGTAGATTATTTTTTATCATTGGTTGGGTTACTGCTTGTTATTTTCTTTCTCCCACTTATCATTAGGGAATTGATGGTTTGCTGTGTGAGACATGAAGAATTGCTTTCTATCTTTCTTTTTCCTAGTGTGAGTTAATCTGTATTAAGTCAACTTGACTGGGTTTAGGTTCACTTAGGACACACGCCTCTAGACAGGTCTGTGATGGTGTTTTCTAAGAGGTTCAAATGAGGAAACAAGTCCGACTCAGAATGTGAGCGGTGACATCCCAGGGGCTGAGGTTGTGGACTGAATAAAATGAGAAAGGGAATGGAGCACCAGCACTGAGCTCTCTGCCTCCTACCTGCAGATGCAACGTGACCAGCCTCCTCACACTCCTGCCACCAGAGCTAAAGCTTTTCTGGCCAATGTGTCTTTGTCACTATAGTGAGCAGCAGCTCCAAACCAGGATCCAGAATAAACCCTTTCTGTCTTAAGCTGCCTTTTCCAGGTCTTTTGTCACAGCGATGAAAAGTAATAATTGATCTATTCCTCTCATTCATTCTTTCCTGCATTTTACATACGGAAACTTCTTTTCTGTGTGTTTTCCTTTAAATATCATCTGTAGTGCTGACTTATAAAACTTTATTTATAACATCCCACTCTCAGGCAGCTTTTTTATTGCAACAACACAAAGCTTTATTTCTTTGTTTTCATACTGGCAAGCACTTAACTCTCCATAACAGGAAGAGCTGTGAGAATCATGGAAGAATGGGAGCCCAGTTATATGAGCATGGGATGGTAGTCCATGTGTCTTTTCAGATTTTTCTAGAAAGAGGAGAGATAAAAGCAGATGAAAACCATGCTGGGGACATGGCTTGGGGTCCCAGGGTCACTTTGTTCTGAATCCTCCTAGGTATTCTGTTCCCAAGAAAACTGAGACGGAATTTGGGACTGAGCATCAGTGATGCTATGTAAGTCAAGTAAGAAATCATAATCTCACAATCCCTTACTTCATATTTTAAAGTGTAGTAGGAAATGCTTGGTAACTATCAGGTATGAAAATGGATGGTCGTTAGTAAGTATTGACCTATCTAAGGCAAATGGTTCCACACATGGGCTCCAGGAGGAACCCCAGAATAGCAGAGTTGGGGCTGCCTACCTAATACATAGAATCCCAGGGCTCCACACAACGCTTTTGACAGTAGTAGAAGCAGCACTTTTTATCCCCTTTGCAGCCTCTATCATATCTGCATACAGGTAAAAGGACGAAAGGGCAGGAAAGATGAAACTCTGGGCAATATCCAGGTTTTGTTGTAACTGCTGAAAAATACCACAGGGTGAGTCTCAGGCTCTGATGAACTTCTGCTTCAAGTACCAGTGCCAGCTGGTTCCATGGACTCCTCAGAGGAAATGCTCCCCTACCCAAGCAGACCCAGGGACACTTTCTTACCGTTGTTCTTGAATTTAGGCTGGGCCATGTTGCAGCAAAGAAGGATGGTCACTGTGAGTAGAGAGAGGCTGATCAGCTTCATGTCATAAGAAAGTGTAGGTGATTGGGGAGGCCAGATATGTTTATGCCAGCTTCACAAGATGACCACCATGAAGCAGACCTGTGGTTCACAGAATAGGAGAGCAGCTTGAATCCCAGGGAGGTTTATTCTCACTTAAAGAAGAAATGATATTATGTCATTTGCAGGGAATTGAAGTAGAATAGAAATGCAGGGAAAATTATGGGAATTGGAAGACAAAGGAGCACCTCACTCCAGAGCCTGGCTGAGGCCTCTTGCCCACTAAGACTTGTGAATTCTAGCACAGTTAACATCTGCTGTGAAGGTTGCCAAGACAGAGCCAACATTCCTTTTATATACTCTGTTAATAGGCTGACCAGGCTCCAGTGGATGAACTCACACCAAGGGACATGTCGGGACACAAACTTAACTCAATAGACCTTAACATGACAGAATGCATAAAATCCAGTTAGAGGGCTGTGATGATGTGTACATAGTGGTGGGGGTCTAAGTATGATTAAGATTATTTTATGAAATGCACAAACAAGTCAATAAAACATATATTGAAGAAAATAAAAAAGATATTCTATATCAAAATAATAATGAACCATGCTTAAGGCCCAAACCCATACCACCTTCAAGTATGGCCTTACTCCTGTCCCAAATATTCACTGGGAATTTCATATTGTTTACAATGAAGATGTCCTAACTTCCTCCAGCTCTGTGAAATAAAGTTTTACCTTTTTCATTGTAATCCTGTCAGGTACATCTCAGGAGCCACCCTGTGATCTCATTCGAATTCCTTCAAAATGCTTTGAAGGTAATAATCTCAGAAAGCACTGAAGTTATACATGTGACCGTTGTGAGGACAGTGGAGAGTGACTTTTCTTAGAGAATCCCACTCCATACCATTGGGTGGGAGACTCTTTCCCAATGTCACTTTCTTTTAACCTTAAAATCTTTATTAAAAACATCTCTTAAGATGGACGTGGTGGTGCTTGCCTTTAATCCCAGCACTTGGGATGCAGAGACAGGAGGATCTTTGTGGGATTGAGGCCAGCCTGGTCTACATAGTGAGGTCTAGTTCAATTGGGACTACAAAGAGTCACTGTCTCAAAAAACCAACCAACCAACCAACCAACCAACCAACCAAGACCAACAACAACAACAAAAAAAACCCAATCCCCTAAAATCTCTTTTAATAAACTCCAACTCTGCTTTGGCTGGCTTATCCTGAAATTGTGTGCTGTGTCTAGGCCAAGAATCCTGTTTTGCCTGAGTCAAGGTTTTTAAAGCTTAATGGACTTCCTCCGGCTGCTGAAGGTACAGTGTGGAGGCCTGTCTGTCCCTGCCACTGCAGGTCAGAACGGTGTGGACCTGGAGAATCTAGTGTTAAACAAAATGAGCCAGACTCAGAAAGACAAATACTATGTTTTCGCTCATATGTGGAATCTAGACTAAAACACAAAAATAAAAGACGTGAAAGCAAATGTGGGAAGAAACCAGGCCACTGGGAAAGGGACGGGTGACAAGAGCTGATAAAGCAAGATGACTATGAGCAAAGAATAATATACATGCATAAAAAGACAGAATGAAGCCTATTGACCTAAGAGAAAGACCTCGTCAGAGGGGTTAGGAAGGACAGCTTTGCATTACCCCCATACTCTCCCCACTCTCATCAGCAAGCATCACAAACACTGTCTGGGAAGAGGAGGGGAACATTCATAGGACTTTGCCTCAGATACTAGTACTGGTTCCACGCCGTTAAAACCCAGCACCAGGCACATCCTCATGGCTTCTGATTCCTGGCCAACACATGTGACATGAGCCTCTACAACCACTTCAGAGCTAGATGGGAGCATGAACTCCTTGCCCGAGTCTCAGCTTTTGTCACAGCTAGCTGATGGCAGCATCCTTTGGCTTTGACACACCCTGGGAGCAGACAGTCTTCAGAAACACAGCATCTGTGCTTCTCTCCATCCTGCGTCAGTAGTGACAGCCACAGGATTCCAATGTGTTACTAAGCCAGATTCAAAGTGATGGGATTACTTCCCCTCTCCGTTATAGGATGTGCTGACTGTGTCAGTCATGGGTTTAGGGAGCCCCATTACCACAATGGCTGTAATGGTCATAGGCTTAGGGACCATTTCTGATAGTCTGCAGTGAATGGTTGGACAAACTTTCTATTGAAGAATATTTTCAGATATTGCCAGAATGCAAAGACTGGAATACCTACATCTTTAATTAAAGACATAGATTCAGGATAATCCTCAATAACAGTGAGGAAACATGGCACTGTCTACTGGAGAAAATGAAATAGGAGGCTCAATGTGAGTAGTTGATAGTAGAGAGTATTAACTCCTCAACAATGAAATGAAACAGTCACTGGTGAAGAAAGCTAAATGAACTCTAAGAAAAACGAAGAGAAATAATTCAGGAAAACATTGGAGAAATTTAACAAAGAGATTAAAATAATATTTAAAATCCAAACAGAATTGCCATAGTTGGACAATATTTGTGTGAAATGATATGCAACAGAAAACATCAGTAAGAGAATTGATCAAACAGAAGAATCTGTGAACTCAGAGAGACAGATAACTTGAAAATACACAGTGAAAGAGTGATGACAGAATGCATGAAATCCGGTGGAAGGGTCATGGGGCGGTGCAGGTAGGGAAGGTGGTCTAAATATGACTAGGACGCATTGTATGAAATACACAGAAATTCAATAAAATATATATTGTAAAAAAGGAAGAGGAAAGCTTGTAAGTTTCATGGAACAGCATGAAAAGGGAAATGCCGTGTCACTGGTATTCAAGAAAGTAAATAGTTTATGCTTTAAATACGCTAAAGAAATGATACCAGAAGCATTGCAAACCCCAGGAAAGATATAAACATCCAGATTTAGGTGATCAGAAAGGACCCTAAAGCAGGGTGAAAAAGAAGGAGCAAGAAAGAGAGAAATTCCAGCCGGGCGTAGTGCACACGCCTTTAATAAGCCAGCACTTGGGAGGCAAAGGCAGGCGAACTCTGTGAGTTCAAGGCCAGCCTGGTCTTCATAGTGAGTTCTAGGCCAGCTGGAGCTACAGGGAGACCCTGTCTAAAAAGACAATAAATAAATAAATAAATAAATAAAAAGAAAGAAAGAAAGAAAGAAAGAAAGAAAGAAAGAAAGAAAGAAAAAGAAAGAGAAAAAGAAAGAAAAATTCCAGTGGGAGTGACAGAAGACTCCCCAGAGACATTGCACTAGGCAGGAAAGAGCTTAATGTTTTCAGAGACAGAAACATGCAACCCAAGAATACTCACGCAGCAGAACTGTCCTGAATAAATGGAGGGCAGATAAGACTCTTACCTAGAAATAAAAACCAAGGGAGATCATGTCCACCAGACCTGTTTTTCAAGAAATGCTAAAAGGAGTTTGTCAAGCTGAACATAACAAAAACGCAGTTAATGAGTTACTGACATCTGATGCTTTAGAGGTAAGTTGAAAGTGTAAGGCTAACAGAAATGAGCACACTGAGGTGGTTGTGTTTACGTTGCACAAAATAGACGGATTCAGAGATATTGTGAGACACAGTAACAGCAGCTTGTATTAGTAAGATCATTTGATGAAGACAGACGTATTAAAAGCATATCCGGATGTGGTGGTGCTCGCCTTTAATCCCAGTACTTTGAAGGCAGAGGCAGTCGGATTTCTGTGAGATTGAGGCTAGCCTAGTCTACATAGTGAGTTCCAGGTCAACTGGGGCTACTGGGAGACCTTGTCTCAAAAAACAAAACAAAACAAAAAACAAAACGAAAAAAGGAAGCATGTTCATAGCTGCAGTGGTCAGTAGAGACCCAAGAAATGAAATGTACAAAAGCTCAATAAAAAATATTTTTGAGAAAGAGGAATGAAGCAAATGTCTGGACCGAGTGGAGGAGTAGGCAGCAGAGTCTTAACAACTAGACAAGACAGAGGCTGTGACAGGTTGTGTTTTCATCATCATTTTTCACTAGGAATTTTAAAATTTCAACCTCTGATTTCTTAGATGACTTGTTCCTCAAATATGTATTATTTCGTTTCCAAGTATTGTTGTGATTTCTGTGTTTTATCTTGTTAATTTCTAGTGTTATTCCATTGTGGTCTAAAAGACAAGGAATTATTCCTCCCCCCTTTTTTATGTATCTATTGAGGTTTGCCTTGTTTCTTATGATATGATATACTTTGGAAAAGGTTCCATGTGCTGTTGAAAAGAAAGTGTATTTCCTAGCTGTTGGGTGGAATATTCTATATTTGTCAGTTAAATCAAGTTGATCTGTAGTGATGACTACTGAGCCACTTCACACCACAAGTCACCAAGGCAGTTGGATGTTATTCACAAAGAAGTCATTTATAGATCGGGTAACATGCAGAGGACTTAGATACTTCACACAGTCACCAGGAAACTCAGAATCCACTGTGAATAGAATGGGTATAAATGAGGAAAGCAGGGTTGGAGAGATGGCTCGGTGGTTAAGTGTGCTTGCTGCTTTTCCAGAGAAGAGTTTGGGTCCCAGTACCCATGTTGGGAAGCTCACAACTGCTTCTAACTTTAACTCCAGTGGATCCAACATCCTCTTCTGGTCTTTTCAGGCACCAACACACACAAGAACATACATACACACGTAAATAAATAAATCTTTTTTAAAAAACAAGGAAACCAGTGAATTCAGAATCACAGTCATAATTGGTCTAATACTGGCCTCTGTGGAGCTCTTCAGTATAGAATGTGGATCAATCTAGATCCATCTCCAGATTCCATTTTTCTTTTGGAAAATCAAATAGAAAACTAAAAAGTAGGAAATGAGGTGAACCGGTCCTCAGTCCTACAAATGCCTCATTCACATGACCTTGGGTATTTTGTTGTTGAGAGAGGAAAGGGACAATAAAGAGTTCTGGGACTGCTAAGTGGGCAAAATTACCCAGAGACGGCAAATGAATAAGTGTTCCATGCCTGTGTAAGAAGCCCAAAAGTCTCTTTTGGTTTTGTTGTTATTTGTTT